AAACCCAAGGATGCCAGAAGCCCTGAAGGCCTCTCAGGGCTGAGGGCAGCAGAGAACAGTGGGTTGGAGGTGGTGTCCCAGGGAGGCCAGCCCCTGGGAGTAGTGGGCTGGGGATGAGGTGGGTGCCAGCAGGCGTGAGTGGGGCCGTCCCTTCTCTTCCCCACCGCGCAGCTGCCACCAGCCCGCTCACTGCAGTCTTCAGCCTCTCCCGCAGCCTGCTGGCCGCTGCCCTGCTCTATGGCTTCTGCCTGGGCGCCATCAAGGTAGGGGTAGCCCGTAGGGTGGGGGCATGCTGAGGTCTGTGGGGGTGGCTGGGACAGGGCTGTGAGCTGGGCTCAGCATCGGCTTCTCACAGGGGGCACCCCAGCCCCACGCTTGCCCTCACCTCCCTGAGCAGCATGGATTCTCTTCCCAGACTCCTTGGCCGGAGCAGCACGTCCCTGTCCTCTTCTCAGTCTTCTGTGGCCTCCTGGTGGCGCTGTCCTACCACTTGAGCCGGCAGAGCAGTGACCCCACCGTGCTCTGGTGGGTGCCTGCATGTGCCTGTCCTTGTGCACACGTGTGCGTGCTCTGTGCGCGTGTCTGTGTCTCAGCACGGTAGGGGTCCGAGGGTCTGTGCATGTGCCTGTGAGCAACTGGCCCCAGCCTCCTCTGGACCCCAAGCCTGTGGGTGGGAGGGAGGGCGGCCCCCCTGCCCCAGCCCTGACTGCCCCTTTCCCCCCAGGTCTCTGATCCGGAGCAAGCTCTTCCCCGAGCTGGAGGAGCGGAGCCTGGAGACAGCCCGGGCCGAGCCCCCAGACCCTCTGCCAGACAAGATGCGCCAGTCGGTGGTGAGGGGGCAGGAGTGTGGGCATCTAGTCGGGAGGCAGTGGCAGGTGCTGGGGGCTGGGAGGAGCGTCGGGCAGCTATGCTGGTCTCTCTGGCCCACAGCGTGAGGTCCTGCACTCTGACCTGGTGATGTGTGTGGTGATCGCCGTGCTCACCTTCGCCATCAGTGCCAGCACCGTCTTCATCGCCCTGAAGGTTCGTGGGGCTCAGGCCACGCCCAACCCCCAGTCTTGACGGGAACCTGCTCCACCCGAGGGTCCTGGCAGCCCCCATCTGGCCTGTGCCAGGCCGCGCTCTGGGGCCCCTTGGCCAGCCCCCTCGGCTGAGCCTCCGGCCTCTCCCCCTGCAGTCGGTGCTGGGTTTCGTGCTGTACGCGCTGGCCGGGGCTGTGGGCTTCTTCACGCATTACCTCCTGCCACAACTCCGCAAGCAGCTGCCCTGGTTCTGCCTCTCGCAGCCTGTGCTGAAGCCGCTGGAGTACAGCCAGTACGAAGTGCGCGGTGAGTGCCCACCGGGGCAGCCCTCACCCTCCTGCTCTGGTGGGCCGAGCTGCCTGGCGAAGCTGTGATCCTCTTGGCTCAGGATTGCCAGCAGGGGGCAGCCTCTACCCACCCGACCCTCTCTACGCAGGCCCTGGCCAGCCTTGCCCTGGCCGGCCTTGCCCCGGCCCTTTGCCCCCCTCCCTGCCCTCTCTGCCCACATTGCCCTCTCCCTCATTCTTCTCCCCGTGCCTGGCTCGGCCCCCGCTGTGCCCACCCCCCTTACTCACTGCCCTTTTTCTGCCCTACTTGCTGTCTCCGAGGAGATGGAAGTAGAATCCCAGGGCCCTGGAGGGATCTCTTGTCCAGAATTACAGACTGGTCAGCCGTGGACCACATCCGCCTGGTGTGCATTTTCACTGGGCTATGTGATAGTTTTTAAGAATTCCTGCGCCTCAGCCAGACATGGTGGCTCATGCCTATAAATTCAGATTCTCGGGAGGCTGAGTTGGGAGGATTCCTTGGGGGATTACTTGAGGCCAGGAGTTTGAGACTATTCTGAGTGATATAGCGAGACCCCATCTCTAAGAAAATGTTTTTAAGTAAACAGAGGACCCTGAAACTTATATTTAAACATTTTGATTTGTAACGTGCAGGTCTATATTCCTTATCTGTTTGTCTTCTTCCCTTTCTTCTTTCTTTTCTTTTCTTTTCTTTTTTTGAGCCAGAGTCTTACTCTGTTGCCTAGGCTGGAGTGCAATGGCATGCTCACAGCTACCATAGCCTCCACCTGCTGGGCTCGAGCTATCCTTCTGTCTCTGCCTTCTGCTATGATGACCGGCCAGACTTGGCTGTGGCCAAGTAGCTGAGGCTACAGGCATGTGCCAGCATGCCCAGCTAACTTTTTTTTGGTATAGACGGGGGCTCACTATGTTACCCTTGAACTCCTAGGCTCAAGCAGTCTACTGCTTCAGCCTCCCGAGGTGCTGGGATTACAGGCATGAGCCACCATGCCCAACTCCTTGTTTTTCTTAAGCAATGGTAGATTCCCCCCCAACCCCTACCCTACCAGCATCCCATGTGGGCACAACAGGTCGGTCCAAGGGAAAGACCCTTCAGAAGGGCCTTGAAGCTTGCGGTCACCGTTTCTTGGGCCTCAGCCAGCTCCGCCATACATGGCTCTTGCCTGCCTCTGGTGGGCATTTGAGATTTCCCTTTCAGCCTTGTTTTTGCAGACAGCAAAATAGGGCAAAGCGTCTGCCCTAAAGTCAGTGCCAAGTGGCACGTGACACCCTTGTCCTGCCAGGACTCATCATCCTCATTTGAGCTGCTAGGGATCACCTCCTTTCCCAAATTCTCTAGGGACCCAGGACAACACAGTCCGTAATTTGCCTGCACTTCCAGATCACTCTCAGAGCTCACCCATCCTGGCCCCGTGGTGGCTAGTCTTCAGGGCCTCCCGGGAAGGGGCATGTGGGGGCCGGGTGCTGGCCAGCAGCCGGCCAGCAGCCCTGCCTTCCCATTGCAGGTGCCGCCCAGGTCATGTGGTTCGAGAAGCTGTATGCCGGCCTACAGTGCATGGAGAAGTACCTCATCTATCCTGCCGTGGTGCTCAATGCTCTCACGGTGGATGCCCACACTGTCGTCAGCCACCCGGATAAGTTCTGCCTCTAGTGAGAACCACCCACTCCCCCTTCTATCCTGCCCATTTGACCCATGGGGAAACTGAGGCCCAGAGAGCGAGAGTCATACTTAAGGTTGCTCAGCCAGCCAAAATAGGCCCCAACTCCCGACATGCTTTCTGCCGAAGCCGTTGCCTATTGAAAAGCAAATGTGTCTGCCCTCACCCCCTTTAGAGTGGAGACTGAGGTTCACAGGCCCCAAAGGGCAGGGGCCAGCCCAGCAGAGCCGAAACCTGGGTTGCACTCGGGCCAGAGTAGGAGAGGGATGGGGCATCTGTGCCCACTGCCCTTTGAGCCCCCACTGAGCGCCTGATGCCTGTCCTCACCACAGCTGCCGGGCGCTGCTGATGACTGTGGCCGGGCTGAAGCTGCTGCGCTCGGCCTTCTGCTGCCCACCGCAGCAGTACCTGACCTTGGCCTTCACCGTCCTGCTCTTCCACTTTGACTACCCGCGCCTCTCCCAGGGCTTTCTGCTTGACTACTTCCTCATGTCTCTGCTCTGTAGCAAGGTGAGCTGGGGCTGCGGCCTAGATGCCAGGCTGCCCAGCTGGGGTGGAGCAGATCCTTCTGCTGGGTGGGGAGAGAATTTCCCAGGGGCCGGTGGCTACCACTCTGTCATTCCTGCCATGGGCCTTTACAGCAGCTCCCTGAGAAAGAGGTTCCTTCCACCCTCTTTGTGGAGAGAAGCTGAGGCTTAAGGAGGTTAAGAGACCAAGCCGGGCTCGGTGGCTCAGCCTGTAATCCCGCCTCTTGGGAGACTGAGGTGAGAGGATTGCCTGAGCCCGTGGGTTCGAGACCTGCCTGGGCAACTTGGCGAGACCTCATCTCTACAAAAAAAAAAAAAAAAATTAGCCGGGCGTGGTAGCGCACACCTGTAGTTCCAGCTACTTGGAAGGCTGAGGCGAAAGAATTGCCGGAGCCCAGCAGGTCGAGGCTGTGGTGGCTGGGAGCAGCCAGTGCACTCCAGTCTGGGTGACAGAGTGAGACTCCAACTCAAAAAATAAAAAATAAAAAAAGAGACCTGCCTCAGGTCTCCCAGAGAAGTGGTCAGCCAGGGTTTGAACAGTTCTGTCTGACCTCATGACTGCCCTCCTTAAAAACACTGAGGATACTCAGGACCTCGCCCTGTCTTCTAGATGCCACCTCTGAGCTCTGCCCCTCTGCGAGGGTCTGACTGGCCCTGGATCCAGACAGTCAGCACTGAGGTTCACAGCCAGTAGGATCTGCCTGCTGTGGCACTGTCAGGGCTTGGGGGTCATTGTGAACAGAGGACCATTCCTCTGCACTGTACAGGGGACCTGCAGTGGTGTCTGGGACCCCAAGCAGGCTTAAGCCTTCTCACTCCATCTGTTCTTGTCTCCTGCCTGGCCCTGGGTGGTGGACAATAGAGCATGTGCCCCTCCGAGGGCAGGGCCTGTGACTGCGTCTTGACTTTGAGCACCATAGTCCAGGTCCAGCCTCGCCAGGGACCTAGTGGCATGAGAAGCCACTTCCCTTCTCTTTCTTTTCTGAACCTCAACTCTTCTGTCCACAAAATGGGGACAGCAGTAAGAATAGGTAATCCCCAGAGTTGTGTGAATTAATGGGTAATGCCCTCTTAGAGCTGTCTAAGGGGTTGCTAATGGTATCAGATGCCTTGAGTGACCTTGAGCTTGGCACCACGTGGTCAGCCAGAGGGGCGGCACAAGGCTCTGAGTGAGGCCTGACCCTGTGTGTCTTTTGTCCTCGCCCCTCGTGCTCCTGCCAGCTGTGGGACCTGCTGTACAAGCTGCGTTTTGTGCTCACCTACATCGCGCCCTGGCAGATCACCTGGGGCTCAGCCTTCCACGCCTTTGCCCAGCCCTTTGCTGTGCCACGTATCCAGCCTGCTGCCTGAGTCCGGTGGGGTGTTGGGAGGGCTGTGGCCTGGGGCGGCGGGGATCGGCGAGGGGGGGGTCCTGCGAGCCTGCCACCTCCTTGACTCTGGCCCAGACTCGGCCATGCTGTTCATCCAGGCCCTGCTCTCGGGGCTCTTCTCCACGCCGCTCAACCCCTTGCTAGGCAGTGCCGTCTTCATCATGTCCTACGCGCGGCCCCTCAAGTTCTGGGAGCGGGACTACAAGTGAGTCTCACAGAGATGGGAGCCAGTGCCCAGCAGGGAAGGGAGGGAAGGGGCTGGGAGTCGTGCTGGCTGGTGCCCAGAGAGGGGCCCACAGCAGGTTTGTGAGCCCTGGAGCACGGTGGCAATGCTTGAGGTCGCGGATCTGGTGAGGGCAGAGCCCACGCCAGGCCCAGGCCTCGGGCTCACAGCCTGGGATGGTCGGGCCTGGGTGTGAGGCCCAGCTTCCCCTCTTTCTGGCTGTGTGGTCCTGGATGGGTCCCCTCATGTCTCTGGGCCTCAGCCTTCTCATCTGCATAACGGGGCTGTCACGGATGGTGTCTGCCTCGTGGCACAGGGTAGAGCATGGGCAGAGAGGACATGCTTGGTGCAGGCGGAGATTGTCATCTGAGTCGTCTGCCTCATCCTCTGCCGACACGTTCTTCTCTCTGAGCAGCACAAAACGTGTGGACCATTCCAACACCCGCCTGGTCACACAGCTGGACCGGAACCCCGGTGCGTACCCCGCCTTCAGGGGGTTTGGGGACAGGGCCTCCCCAGGGAGGGAACCTTGCTTACTCGTTACTTTTTCCCGCCATCTGTCTCTTCTGGGTCCCAGGCGCTGATGACAACAACCTCAACTCCATCTTCTACGAGCACTTGACGCGCTCACTGCAGCACACGCTGTGTGGGGACCTGATGCTGGGCCGCTGGGGCAACTACGGCCCCGGCGACTGCTTCGTCTTGGCCTCTGACTACCTCAACGCCCTAGTGCATCTCATCGAGGTTGGCAATGGCCTCGTCACCTTCCAGCTGCGTGGCCTTGAGTTCCGGGGTGAGCCACCAGCCAGCGCTTGGGTGGGCAGACATGGCCAGGGCCTGATGCCCTCTTTCTCCCTGGGCCTCGGTTTCCCAGTCTGAGCAGTGAGGTGGTGGAGGCTTTTGGGCAAGCCCTGCACTGGCCCTGACTGTGGGTCCGTAGTGACTGCAGGTTGCCGTGGTGAAAGCTGGGCCTGTTGCTCTGGGCTGTCATGCCAGCTCCCCCGGCATGCTCTGTGGTCTCAGGCTTGGGTCCCTAGGGCACGCCATGAGTGAGCCAGCACCCTGCTCTCAGGAACACATGTGGATTGGATGCCAGCTTCATAAGAGACACCAAGAGTGTAGAGAGACCAGACCCCTGTCTCCCTCGGCCCCTCCACCCTTGGCTGCCAGGAGTTAGGAGAAAGGCTGTGCTTACTTTTTTTTTTTTGAGTTGGAGTCTCACTCTGTCGCCCACACTGGAGTGCAGTGGCCGCCCCCGGCCACCACAGCCTCGACCTGCTGGGCTCCGGCCATTCTTCCGCCTCAGTCTTCCAAGTAGCTGGAACTACAGGCGCGCACTACCACACCCGACTAATTTTTTGATTTCCATTGTAGAGATGAGGTCTCGCCAAGTTGCCCAGGTGGATCTCAAACCCGCGGGCTCAGGCAATCTGCTCACCTCGGCCTCCCAAAGCACAGGATTACAGGCTGAGCCACTGAGCCCGGCCTGTGCTCACTTTAAAAAAAAATTTTTTTGAGTTGGAGTCACTCCGTCACCCAGGCTGGAGTGTAGTGGCATGCTCACAGCCACTGCAGCCTCAACCTATCCTTCCACCTCAGCCTTCCAAGCAGCTGGAGCTACAGGCGTTCACTACCATGCTGGCTATTTTTTGGTTTATTGTAGAGACAAGGTCTCGCCAAGTTGCCCAGGCTGGTCCCGAACCCTGGGCTCAGGCAGTCCTTTCGCCTCCGCCTCCCAAAGTGCTGGGATTACAGGCTTGAGCCACCGTGCCCAGCTGTGCTCACTTGTTTCTTTCATTGTAGCGTTTACTCCTGGGGGGGTGGGGCGAATAGCAGCAGGCCTCAAATGTGCTCGCCAGAGATGAGGCAGGCAGGGGTTGTCCTAGGCCCTGACTGGCCACCCGTCCCCCGCAGGCACTTACTGCCAGCAGCGCGAGGTGGAGGCTATTACCGAGGGTGTGGAGGAGGACGAGGGCTGCTGCTGCTGCGAGCCTGGCCACCTGCCACGGGTCCTGTCCTTCAATGCCGCCTTTGGGCAGCGCTGGCTGGCCTGGGAGGTGACGGCCAGCAAGTACGTGCTGGAGGGCTACAGCATCAGTGACAACAACGCCGCCTCCATGCTGCAGGTCTTTGATCTCCGCAAGATCCTCATCACCTACTATGTGAAGGTACAGGGGTTGGGGGCAGGCGCACAGCTGGGTGGCAGGTCCCCACTGGTGGGCGCTCGCTGACCAGGGGCCTCCCAAGTGTTGTCTCCTGGGTTATTGGGAGCCTTTTTTGCCCAAGGCAGCAGGAGCCTTCAGGAGTTTAAGCATTCTCCACGGTGCCACTGCCAGATAGGGTCCACAGGGGCCCCAGTGCTACCTGGCTCTGGTGATAGGTCCCCAGGGTGGTGAAGGCTTGCCTTGGGCAACAGGTATTGGGGCAGGTGGGCAGCACATGCACGGACCTTCTCGTGGGGCTACTGCTGGTCCCAAGAGGGGCAGTTGCCCAGGCCAGCCTTTGAAATCCCAGTCCCCCTGCCCCATGTCCCCAGCACAGCGTGATGCTGGAGCAAACGGTGCTTGTTAAGGATGGCCACAGGAGCAGTGACCCAGCTGTAGTGCTTACCGTGGGGTGGGCTCAGCGCCGGGCCCCACTTCTGAGCCGGGTCGAGTTTGCCAACACCTAAGGGAGGCCCTGCTGTCTCACAGGTGTGGAAGTTGGCTCCAGAGGTGAAGTGATTTGCCCAAGGCTACAGAACCAGTAGAAGGTGGCAGAACTGGGCTTTGAACCCAGCCCAGCCAACTGAGCCACGGGACTTCTTGTCCCAGCCTGGGCGCTCCAAGCCGGGCCTGAGGGTCTTGAGACCTGATGGGGATGATGGGGAATTGGTGAGGCCCAGTGTGGAGTGCAGAAGGACCCCTGGGATAGAGGTTCTGGGCAGCTTAGACTGTCACCTCTGTGCCTCAGTTTATCCCCCTTGAGAAGTGGGGGTTATTACAGTTCTGTAAGGTGGTAGAAACGATGAGATTTCGTGGCACCCAGAATAAGTGCTGGGAGTAAGGTGGGTTGGTGATCACAGTCTGGGTCGCTGCATACCCTCTCAGGATCTGTCCCAAAGCTCCCTGAGGATCTCTCTCGGGCAGTTCCGTGCAGCCCAGCTGTCCTTTTGCCTCTGTGGACATCCATTCATGCCACATGTCAGAAGAGCTGTCATTTTTCTGTCATTCCTTCTGTCCTCCCAGCCACTCCTAGAATTTGTGAGCCCTGCCCCCCTTTTACCAAGAAGGAAGCTGTGATCCAGAGAGGAACATTCCCAGCCTGGGGCAGCCCACGGGTCATGGTCCTGTCCCATCTCGGGTGGTGCCCTTGCCCTAGTTGCCCAACTGCCTCCCACGAGTCCTGCTTGAAGCCAAGTGTCGCCCTCTGATCACCATGTGCTAGACCCAGGCTGGGTGAGATGAGCCTGGTCCTGCCTGTTTTACTGTCCCATGGGGAAGCTGACTCGCCATAGCTGTGGCTGCCTCAAAGGCTGGCAGGGTCAGAGCCAGGTAGAAGAGCTTGGAGGACCCGGGCAGCTCTGCTAAGGGCAGCGTGAAGTTCGGAAGAACAAGTCAGGGCTGCCGTGGGCAGGGCCTGGGGAAGCAGGTGTGCTGGGGTACACTGGGGAGCCTCGCAGAACTGGGGCGGTGTCCCCTTTTACCAGGGGGGAAGAGGCCCTTTCCAGCCTTCGGTTGGCCAGGCCTTCCTCTGGTACTTCTCCTGCACGTCACCCTTCCCGCCGGAGTCACAGAGTGCAGTGGGTGAGAGACTCGGGCCGACCCCTGGGACCCCAGAGACGCCAGCTCCCCCATCACCGGTAGCCCAGCCTTGACACTCGTGGGGCCTGGCAGTGTTTCCAAACCCATGCCTGTTCCATAGTGTGTTCCTTAATCCTCGGGAGAGGCAGGGCCTGGGAATTGGCCCCTTTTTGGCTACAGAAACGGGTTCCCAGGCTGCTCTGCGACTGGGCGAGCCGAGTGGAGGCAGGGGCAGCCAGGGCCACCAGGCTGTCGGGAGCCCGGCCCTGGGTTTTCCTGGGAAGCCCTTTGGGCAGAGCCCGGCCGGCAGTGAACTCCGATGGGACCTGCCACTAGTATTGCCCCGTCCTCATTTTCTCCTGAGAGCATGCTGAGGGTGTTTCACAGAACACAGTGGCACTGGCGAAAGGTAACCGAGCACTTCATGTGTGCCAGGCTGGCTCCGCCCCTGCCCCAAAGCTCCACTCTTCTGGGTCTCCTTGGGTTCTCTGGTGGTACCTGGGCTGCAGAGACGTTCTGTGGGTGGGAAGGTTAGTCTGGAGCGGGTTGGCCTGGAGCCAGCCGCCCTGCCCCACTCACCCTACAAGGGTCCTGGTCCCCCTTCCTCTTGGTAATGGGATAGGCTCGCCCTACTCAGACTGCCCACCCACCTGCCTGTGGCCGAGGCTGTACTGGGCCAGGTGAGCCCCCACGTGCTAGGAACTGAATGCCCTCCCTGTAGCCACTGCGTCCAGGTGTCCCACGCCCTGCCCCCTAGAGCTGTTTGAGACCCTTGACTCCTTCCAGCTTGGACCTTGGTCACTTTGCCCAGGCTCTTGGCCTCGCTGCCTCCTCCCCCCACCACAGCCACTCTGCTGGACATTCCTACTGCCTGGTGCTTTCTGCTCATGCCAGCTGCACCACCCTCCCCAGCCCTGGGCTTCCCTGCCTCTTACCCAGGCAAGGGGCCAGCTCCATCGGCTCCATCTCAGGGTGGTACATGGAATCCCTGTGACCTCACTGGCCGCTGGCCTCACACTGCCATCCTGGCTGTGCCAGCAACCTGCATGCCACAGCTCCGCTACATTTTCCCAGACCCCTGCCTAGAAACCAACAAGGCCTCTTATTAGGGATCCAGGAGCCCCAGCTTTGGGCTCAAGATGTTGCTCCTATGACTTTTTTTCTGAGGAGAGGCCTGATGGCTGTCACACCTCAGCTGCCCAAGGGGACCTGTGACTCAGAGGCAAGGAGACCCCTTGACCTGTAGGCAGCATGGCTTTCAACCTGACCTTCCAGGCCCTGAGGCAGTGGAGGCAGTGGCTACTTGGAGGCAGTGGCTACAGGGAGGGCATTCAGTTCCCAGTAAATGGGGGCTTGCCTGATCTTGGCATCCGTGTCATGATGTTGAAGGTCCGGGGTTCAAATCCCAGTTCAGCCTGCCTTGCTGTGTGACCTCAGGCAAGGCTGCTCTCTGTCTGAGCCTCAGCAGCCCTAACCAATAGGACGACTTCTAGGGCTGGCAGGAGGAGGCAGACAGATGCTTCCTGAGGGCACTTGCCACAGCGGGGACCCTCCAAGTGACTCTGTCCATAGGCGCTTCTTGTCGGCTTTCTCTCACTTCTGCCCTGGCCTAGGGGACTTGCCCGGCGGCCTCAGGGAGCCGAGAGGGCTCCAGGAGGTGGACGCCCTAGGAGACGGGCAGCTCCATCTGGGGGAGAAGACTCCTTCCCTTGATGCTTCCTCCCCCAGGGGCTGGGGCAGGCCAGGCCCTGCCTGACACTACCCTCTCCTCTTCAGAGCATAATCTACTACGTGAGCCGCTCCCCAAAGCTGGAGGCGTGGCTGAGCCATGAGGGCATTGCAACTGCCTTGCGGCCTGTGCGGGCTCCTGGCTATGCTGACTCGGACCCCACCTTCTCGCTGAGCGTGGATGAGGACTACGACCTGCGCCTTTCTGGCCTCTCTCTGCCCTCCTTCTGCGCCGTGCACCTCGAGTGGATCCAGTACTGTGCCTCCCGGCGCAGCCAGGTCGGGCCCCACCGCCATGGGCTGTGCCCTCCAGCTCCTGGACCTGGGCTCGCCCCCTCCCCGTGTGTGTTCCTCCAACCTGAGCCTCCCTTGACCCAAGCCCCCCTCCCCAAGGTCCCTGTCCCAGGTCTGAGCTGGGCTCTGGGGATGGGGTCCTTGTGCCACAGCCCGTGGACCAGGATTGGAACTCCCCGCTGGTCACGCTGTGTTTTGGCCTGTGTGTGCTGGGCCGCCGGGCCCTGGGGACAGCCTCGCACAGCATGTCTGCCAGGTGAGTCCTCGCGGGTCCTGCTGGGCTTATTGCTGTCCCCTCCGTGGAGAGCTCTGGAAATGCCACTGGTCCTAACTGTTGGTGTAGCTCTCACACGGGCAGCGCACTTCCCAGTCACGACCCCGCCAGTTGCTCGCTGCTGTGAGGGATGTGGGCAGACTGGTCTGTTTGTCAAGTCGGGGACCCGGAGGCCTGGCGAGGAAGGGCCTTGGCCCAGCTCCCCTGAAGCCTGAGACCCCTGGCTCCTCTGCGCCCCTGCTCACTCGTTCCTCCTGCCTGCTCAGCCTGGAGCCCTTCCTGTACGGTCTGCACGCCCTGTTCAAGGGGGACTTTCGCATCACCTCCCCGCGGGACGAGTGGGTCTTCGCCGACATGGACCTGCTCCACCGCGTCGTGGCGCCCGGGGTCCGCATGGCTCTCAAGCTCCACCAGGTGGGTCGGGTGCCCCGGCAGCGCGGGCGGGATGAAGCCGCCCCGGGGCGGGGTGCTGATGCGCCCCCGCCCCTCTGTCAGGACCACTTCACGTCCCCCGATGAGTACGAAGAGCCGGCGGCGCTGTACGACGCCATCGCGGCCAACGAGGAGCGGCTGGTCATCTCGCACGAGG